TGGTAAACTTGGAAAATTACTTGCCATAGTTGCCAACAGACAATCTGAACACGCAACTAAAAATTTACAGGAAATCTCAGAAAAACAAAATGCGGCCTGAGTTGCTGTTGGAATTGCATTGTTGGAGTTGATGTGTGCAGTACTCGCCTTGGGTGCTGATGATATTCCTGAAGCTGCCACCATGGCCGGTGGTTTTTGTTAAAACATTTGTCCCACACCAAAGAGTTATAAAACAATAGAATACTATATAAGGCTTTGAGCTACTCCTCCTATCAGATTGACCTTTAGGATGGAACCCCGAGTCTTAACATGGTATCAGAGCCAATTTCGGTTGTGGTTTGACGGCTTGTTTAGCACCCATGATTAATGGCCTGTTTGGATGGAGTGTTGGGTAGTGTTACCAATGGAAGTGTTGAGAATTGTTAACATTAACACTTGTTTGGGTGAGAAATTAAGAAGTGTTAGAGAGTGTTAATAAAGGTTAGGAAGTGTTAGTAATTACCTTCCCAACACCTCAATTGTCTACTTTTTTAACACCCCAATTTGGAGTGTATTGAGGTGTTGACAATTAATACCCTTCAAATTGATCGATGTCTCATTCTATTGCCGCACTCTTCCCTTCGCCTGTTCTTCTTCCGCAACTCTTCTCATCTGCCACAACTTTTGGCCTTCATCCCATCTCTTCATCTGCCGTCACTTTTGCTTGCTTCATTTACTTGCTTGTTTTTGTTTTTCTTTATTGACATATATATAGATAACTAGCGTGGGCGCGCGCGTTGCGCGACGGTCAGGGCCCAACGCTTGGTAAAACGAGAAAACTGTACTTTATAAAAAAACATGCGCAAGTACATCACAAAGAATGAACTTATGGGAGACCTCTAACATTTCAAATACCTAATTTAAAATCAAAACAGAAAAGAGCAGTTCAAGTATTGTAGGTACATCATTGTAGCTGTTTAGTACCATTCAACACCTGAAATATAAGCAAAAGCATGAAAAAAGTTGTCAATAATTGCAGTTACATTAAAGATGGGAATCAAACAATAAATAAGAAAACATTATTACAAATTAAATCCTAGCGAAACCGGCTTTATACATTCAGATGAAACTTGGTTTTGTTTTATGTTTTTGAAGAAAAAGCAGAATTTTGTAAAGCATGTTATAGGCTGAAATATCTATAGTTCAAGAATTATCATAGTGTTAGCTTTTGTTTGGGTAAAAGGCTAAAGTGAGTTTGAGATTGAGTGTAATGAACACACAATTTGTTCCTAGCTGCATCTGGAGATAGAACAATACCACAATCTTTAAGTTCGAGAGTATTCCTAGATGTACCTGGAGACAGAAAAATACCATAATCTCTAAGTTTGAAAATATTCCTAGCTACATCTGGAGATGTAACTTCCAATTTTTTTTCTGAAAGTACAATGAAATAAGATATGCAAGCTTGATATGCCAAACCATTTATCAGAAACCATAACCATATAGATGTTTTGGCAGATTAGTGGGCATGGTGTGGTATTGCTTGCATATTTTATTTTATTATACTTTCAGAAACAAGCTGGAAGAAGTTACATCTCCAAATGCAGCTACGAATATTCTCGAACTTAGAGATCGCGATATTGCTCTAAATTAAAAGGCTAATAGATACCGTGTTGTGATAAGTCCGTATTTAGACACGCATTTGATGCGTGTTCGGGTCAGATTTTGATGGTTTTTCTAGCTTTAAGGCGTTGCAAGTCTCAATTTTGGCTCAAGTTGTGTTTAGCAGGCGTTGGATCGAGTTTCATTGCAATTGAAGATGAAATGAAGAAGTTAGAGTCTGTCAATCGGCGCTTGAGAGGCATTCGGGAAGGATTTTAAGGCATTCAAGAAAGATTTGAGCGATTTGGAGGTCACCGGGAGATTCACGACGAAATTCTGATGAAGAAAGAGCAATTGGATCGACCTCATAGGCATTCGGGAGCATTTGGAGCAAGAAACGAAGAAAAAAGATGAAGAAAAGGTCAGGCACGATCGTGCCTGCATTAAGGATTGCACGTCGAGACACTGCCAGCCAGACACGATCGTGTTCGGGGTAGGCACGATCGTGTCTGCAATCAATACGCGCGCATGCTCCGCAGGCATGATCCCAGGCACGATCGTGCCTGGCATCGTGTCTGGCCCCGATTTGTCCTATTTCAGCACAAATTTTACTATTTTCTATAAATAAGGCCTCCATACCCCTTTTTACGGGTTACGAACTTTGTGGAGAGGTCTAGGACGAGTTTTACCTGCGTTTTTACGTTGTTTACTTCGAGAACCTGGGATTCTTTGTAAGTTCAATTCTTTTAATTAATGACAATTTATTTTATTCATCCCAATTCTTTTGATTCGTCAATTATGAGGCGTGAGTAGTTTAATTAGGGATTTGGGGTTGATGAAGGGGTTAATCATGATTGATGGCTAGATTCTTGTCGGTTTAATTGCATGAATGCCGTTTAATTTGTGTTTGAATAATTTAACTGATATCTTTTGTAACCTAGAATCGCGACTAGAATTACAATTGCATGTAGAATGAATTAAAAGAGATCTAATTTGTTCTAGGACACATTCACACACACTTAATCGTTTGCTAAGAGATTAGTAGCGATTAAGGGGCCATAAGCTCGCTCGTTTTGGCAATAATTTAGGATCCTGTCGCATGAGAGATCAGCCTGGTCCCCTAAATTATTGTACTCTTCGCCGCGAGAGCGGTAAGAATTTAGTAATGATTAGCTAGGCTCAATTAAATTAAATTCATGTAATTGAGCCTGTTCTGCCAGAAATCTGGTTAACCCCGGAATCAATTCCTGTTCCCTTCGTCGTTAATTAAGGAAAAACCAATCTTTTTAATTGCTCATTAGCATTAGTTTTATTTTAAATCAATCAACCAACCTCGCACAATTGCATTTTATTTTATTTATTTCTTTTTAATCGCTAAATTTAGTTAATCTTTATTTCCCTTTTGTCCGTCCCTGTGGAGACGATACTCGTACTTTCCACCACTTTTCTACAACTATTTTAAGTGCGAGAAAACACACATCATGTTGCCATCCAGTTGATTTCTTCCAGGTTCAACTGCACCCGATTTCTTTTCCCACCATTATGAATGCCATCATTCTCATCTTCATAGGGACAAAAACACTCTTCACCTATTCAAACAACATTCACAACAGTATCACAAATTCTATTTCCAATATATTGAAATTATAAGCATTGAGAGATAATTAAAATACAAATAATACGATGGAGGTGTAAATTATTCAGTTGATCTATTTCCTTTTTCAGTTCCCAATGATGAGACACGCTTCAGGAAGGACAAAAACATTCTTCACCTCTTATATCATTTTCCATTTTAAATTGATCTATTTCACCAAATTATTAATAACTGTAAAAAAATTTGAGACTCACTCTAGGAAGTGCAAACCCCTCTTTCGCATGAACATACCCTGCCCTTCTGATTTTTTTAGATTACCTAAAATTCAACAAAGCAGAAAATAAGGTCAAATCTTAGCTTACCAAATAAATTTAAGATGAAAACATGTTAACCTCATTTTCTACTTTTTCATCAGTTTTATAGCCAATGCAAAGCAATGCATTACCACGCACGGTCGTAAGGTTCATTTACGTCCGTTGTTGTTGTACTTTTTGTGCATTTTAGAAAAATCAACTTCCTGCAAATAGGCGGCATTTTAAAAATTTAATTAATTAAGAAATCAACTAACCTCAAAATCAACAAGGACTAAAGGCAGAATAAATCAACAGAAAACAATCGACAATTATGAATATGATACTCCGTATTATGAATATATGAACTAATCAACATATCAACTAAGCTCTTATCAACAACTATGAAGTAATCGATACAGAAATTAAATAGGATTAAAGAAGTACCAGAATTCCTGAACTCCCAGAAGGTTCATCAGGCATGGTTTATCACTTCTGTAGCTTCATCGGGCATGGTTATTGAGATTGTAGTTTTGTTGATTCTTCTTTTTACTTGTGTAAATCCTTCAAGGCTCCCCTCATCAAGATTTTCTGTATGAACTGAAAAAGAAAAACTGAGTATTCGGGTGTCCTCAGAGATAGTTTCGTCATTGGACAAAATTGGGGCAAGCGTAGTAGCTGCACAGTCAAGCGTTGGATCAGAGAGGTTCTCATCATTTCCAAGTAGGGTCTCTAACATATCCTTGCCAGCATCACATGTAACCAATTGATGACAATCCTCGGGTACCGCCACGTGAAGGGTGGCCACCCGGGTTTCATCAGACTCGAAACCCATTGGAAGTTGGACGTTTGTAGCCTTAGTAGATAATAATAATAATAATAATAATAATAATAATAATAATAATAATAATAATAATAATAATAATAATAATAATAATAATAATAATAATAATAATAATAATAATAATAATAATAATAATAATAATAATAATAATAATAATAATAATAATAATAATAATAATAATAATAATAATAATAATAATAATAATAATAATAATAATAATAATAATAATAATAATAATAATAATAATAATAATAATAATAATAATAATAATAATAATAATAATAATAATAATAATAATAATAATAATAATAATAATAATAATAATAATAATAATAATAATAATAATAATAATAATAATAATAATAATAATAATAATAATAATAATAATAATAATAATAATAATAATAATAATAATAATAATAATAATAATAATAATAATAATAATAATAATAATAATAATAATAATAATAATAATAATAATAATAATAATAATAATAATAATAATAATAATAATAATAATAATAATAATAATAATAATAATAATAATAATAATAATAATAATAATAATAATAATAATAATAATAATAATAATAATAATAATAATAATAATAATAATAATAATAATAATAATAATAATAATAATAATAATAATAATAATAATAATAATAATAATAATAACAACAATAATTATTCCAAGAGTCCAGAAACGTAAATGAAGGTTTGTGAGGGCGTCGAAAGAGATAAAGCCCATCCGCAAGGAGCGAACGGGAATAAACAGGAGCAACTAACCTTCATTCATCTTTTATATATATAGTAATAGTAAGATATATATAGTAAGATAAAAGTGACAGGTGTACTAAGTGCATAGTCAAAAGTTGGATCAGAGAAAGCCTCATCATTTCCGTCTCAGGCCTAGAACGTATCATTTCCAGCATCACAGGTAGCCAGTTGATGAATTTCCTCGGTTACCGCCACGTGAAGGGTGGCCACCGGGGCTTCATCAGACTAAAAACCCGTTGGAAGTTGGACATTTGTAGCCTTAGTAGCGTTACAGGCAGCCTGCGTAGCATTTGGGGCATCTGTAACATTATTATACACAGCATAAGGGACTGCAACACCATTTTCTGGGCCTGCAACATCAATAAAAGAAACTGCCCAGGCCTCCAAAGGCTTAGCAGTATCAGGGACATCAAATTCAGGGTTTGAACTAATACGGATGTTGGTAACAACATAGATAAAAGAAGCTGCGTGGGCCTCTAATGGCTTAGCAGTAACAAGCATATCAACTTCAGGTCTGGCACTTACAGAAGCATTAGTTACTTGGATAGTAAATGGGATAGTAACAAGTTTATCAACAGATACATTAACCTGGGCATCATTTGGTTTCACACAAGGGGCATCAAACTCTTTCACACAAGGGGCATCAAAAGCAGGGGCACCCAAAGGTTTCACTGGTAACCACGCTGTGGTTATACCACTGTTGTTTTCATGTGAGCTTTGGAAACTGGAGCTTACCAAAATTCACCTTCCATTTGCATCCCCCATGTCACGTCATTAAAACAATATCACTGTGTTGGGGGATCGGGAAGAAATGCTTGTGGTATACCCACTTGCTCACAATACATCTGTAAACATGTTAGTAAAGCTCAGTTTACTCTTATTCTAAGCTTCTAAGATATTGAGTACCAATAGCATTGAATAAAATAAAGTTTTAAAATACGAATAAACCTAAAATTGGGAAGAAGAATCCATCCCACCACCATGCCATCTTTCAGGAAGATTATAGCAATACAATGGTCTGCTCTGTTTGATAAATGGTATATTTATAAATGGTTTATTTTTAAAGTATTAAAAAATTAGAAGAAAAGGTGTAATAGAAATGACATGTTAATATGTTATCAATGCAGTTTTTTATGCCTATAATTTTAGATCATACTTCCTAATTGTGTCTTCTTTACACTATCATATTTTCTTCTTCCATAACTATTGGTTTTTGCCTATTTGCATATTTTACTTGCTTAAATCAGATTTCCAGCTTTGTTTCTAATGTTTTTGAGAGAGCCTAGAAGTCTATTTCTCCCAAAAATAGATTATTTAGTATCTGATAGTTTCTTATAGCCTACTTTACTTGCTTTCTTCTCACTTAGTATGTTAAACCTGCCTTACTCACACTACTCGATATTAAGTTATCTAAGACAAATGACTAATTGAAATCTAGAATTTCCTCTACCTAAGTTACTTTCTTACTTGCTTAGTTCAAATTTTCTGCTTCTTTTCAAATGTATCAAATTTCCTAGTATTTCTGTATGCCAAATTACTTTTTCTTTTCTCATTTAGTATGTTAAATCTGACTTATTGTAGTTACTCAGTAAAAAAAATCTAAATTAAACCATATCATGATGCTTCAATGTACGACAATATCACCATTTCCTTGTTTTCTAAGTTCAATTTTATTTGTGCCTTACATATCCTGTAGTAGGAAAAAGAAATTTTGTAGAGGAGATCGGAGTGTATCCTTTTGATACGATAAACAGAAGATGCCAGGTCGGGGGGCACTCCACTGATGCTTAATAAGATGAAAGCCTAAAAAATTGATATGACTATTTTTAACTATTTAACTAAAGATTTTGGAGAAAAAACTATGAAGTAATTAATTAAAGAGTGCACCAGCTACTTACAGGATTTGGTGTGTGCATCATTAAATAGTCAACAACTTCTGAGGGTCCCTTCACATTATCATCTGCATATAACATAATAAGAAATCATTCTTCAGTGAGATTCTCATTCAAAAAAGCATGGTTCTCTAAGCAAAAGCTTAATATTAGGATAATTCTTTGGAAATATATTAACTCTTTTCTGCCTTTCCTGGAAAATTTACACAGATTTCAGATTCAGCTAGCTTCTAGATGTCCAATTTGCTTTCATTTTCAACAGATTCAGGACAATTATTTTTATTCATGCCCGGAAATCAAGCAAATTTGGAGCTATTTATGAGCTTGCTACATATTCAAGCTCCAATACAGCCTGAAATCAAGCAGGTACCTTTCACCTGTTGGCTAGGAGCTCAAGAGTCATCAATGCAGGGTATTCTTAGGCATGTTCTTCCGGGTTTCATCATGGTGCCTTGGAAGAAGCCATCCCTGCAAAACGAGGTGAGCAGAACAGTTATCTGACATTAATACAAATAATGCCCCATAATATATAACCATATAGATCAACATCAAAGTTGTGAACATTGGTAAATGTGAAGGTCAAATTTGGGTATTGGTAAACCTGAACAAAGATTGAAATTCGTATTTACCAAATTTAAATGGAGCAAAAATTCTAATAAGTTAGTATCATATACGTAGTACATGATAAGTATTAAATAAACGTTGAGGAATACAATTATCATCACAGTTTAGAGCTAAACTACATTGACTCACATACCTCTATTAAATGTGTTTCTCTATATATAGTCAGGTATTCCGAATTGCGCATTTTGACCTGTTTTTGGTATGTAGTTATTGTTGGTCCCGGTTATTGAGGTAACAGTCTAGGGGGGGGGGGGGTGAATAGACTGTTATGGTTTTTAACTTTTTCAAGCTAAGTACCAAGATTGAGAACAGACTGGCAGCGGAGGTTTTCTGGTAGGTGTTCTGTCGGGGTAGCCTCACAGAGGATGAAAGGCACTTGGCCTTCTGTTAACTCACAAGAGGTGTTCTGCTGAACACAGATACCACTTCTTTGGAGTTAATCAGTTTGCAAATAGAAAAAGCAGTAAGTAAGTGACACCAGGGATTTTTATAGTGGTTCAAGGAACAACTCGTTCAATGAGAAGCTCTCCACGTCTTCTTCAAGTGTAGATGTCTCCTGGGATGCACTTCCTTGCTTCCTTTAAGACTGGTCTTGTTTCACTGATTCTCCTTGAAGTATCACCACTTCACCACTCAAGCTACTTTAAGACGCCCTTCTTTGCAGAAGATGTTCTGTAGAAAACAGAGTTTTCTCCAACTTGCTTCGTCACAAAAGATTTGTAATGAGGTGCTTGAAGAGTTGAAGAACAGTAGGAATTTTGCTCTTTGTTGGAATAAGAAGATTGTGAGAAGATGTTATCTTTCCAACGTAAGCTTCTCTTGTTGATGAAGATGGACTTTTAATCTCAAGATAGCTTCTGATATTGTTGTTGTGAGAGCAAAAGTTGTTCCAAAAGTTCTTCAAGGTGTATCTTTTATACTGGAGTTGTCTTCCCGTTGGAGGAGGAGACAACTGCATTGAATGCGCGTACTGCATGAGTTGACCGGTTGGGCCCGCAAGTTTGGCGGCTTGCTATTTTGGGATAGGCTTTCCAGGAATCTCGGTCAATCATCAGCTTTTACTCTTCGGAGTGTAGCGCTCATTAAATGAGCATTAAATGTTGTCCTGTAGCATTTCCGTTGAGTAAGAGCTAGCCGTTGAGAGAATCTTCCGTTAAGGCACATCGGCGAGGTAGCTTGCAAATTCTCTAAGTGTTTGATCTTCTGTTGCGGTTTCCAGAGGGTCAGATCACAGAGGGTCTCGAGCTCTTCTGACCATTGGAACTTCAACAGAGTACCATGAGCACTTCTGTCAAGTAAACAGCCAACAGAGGGCCATGAGCTCTTCTGAAGGATCCAAGTTCAGCAGAGAGCCAAGAGGTCTTCTGTCAGTCGACTACTCTAGAATGCTTACACTTAAAAAAAAAATTCTAATACAACAATTCTAAATGGGGGTACTCTAATGTTCTAATTAATCTAGCATCATCAAAATCTAAATACATTTATTCCTTACAGTTATCAGTGAATCTAATTTCTCATTTGCCAATTCGATCAAAAACACGTTTTTGTGCTTCTAGCTACCTAGTAAACAAATACTTCGTAAAACATTGTAGAATCAGAAACTTGTGAATATATGCAGGGTACTCACAAATACAGGCTGGGTAATTAAGATGGAATTCTTCATTTGAACATCTATGATTTTCACGTTAGATATAATAAAGAGATTGTGAAGATCCCTCTGATCAGCAGCTTCCTTGTTTAAGATGGACAAAAGTATTGCAGCAGTACTTATCACACTGGATGAGGTAGCAAATGCTATCAGTTTCCTTGTTTGCCAGCTACTAATATAGCTTGAATAACTACAATAAACTATTGTAGTGACTAATATCAAAAGATTCACTATACCATCACTGAACATTCTCATAGAAAAACAATCTTCACATAAACATTAAAACCTAATGTACACCCACCCACCTGAAAAATGTGTGCAGAACCTTTTTGTACTAAAAAAGTTCAACTTAAAGTCAACTCCACCAAGAAGTGAGTGGTTGTAGAAGCTGTTCCCTTCACCTGATCTGATTTTTTCTGATATGATTTGAATCTTTCTGATCTGATCTGATCTTAATCAAATAAGAATAAGGAATAAGTAATAAGAATAAAACGAACAGAACAGCTTCTTAGTCATTTACTCCAAATAATATGATTAGTTTAGTTTAGCAAAAACTCTGATTTGTAAGTGGTGATAACTAACCAATAAGGTCATGGTTTGAGAATAAAGGTGTTATTAAAAAAATCTTTATCATAAGACAGCCGCTTGATCTCAATGATAATAAATCAATGAACTACAACTTAACAACAATAGCTTACTGCCCATACCCTGATATTATAAACCAATGAATGACATAAAAAACATAAGAATACAAACTTGTTTTGGTGTGGAATAGATATACTTCTCTTTCAGCTGAGCTGCATCAAGCTCTTCACTGATAGTAGGAACCCCATAGTTTGTCAAGTTTCCAATAACATTATCATACACACCCAAGCCCTCCATATAGTCGTGTGTCTGCTCTGGCTGGTCTTCATGCATAAGAACGAAAAAATTAGTTTAATGGGAGAGAGTTTAGTTCAAGGCAACCATTTCCAAATCCCAAAAGTAGAGGTTAATGCCCAGGGGTTAATCCCAAAAAATTAGTTTAATGTTTTTGGGTAAAGACCCCTGTTCTGTTACTTGTAGTGTTTTAGCCTCTGATTCTTCAACTATTTGTACCTTCTGCTCAGGGGTTAATGCTCTTGCTTTCCACAACGCCTTGATTGTCCTGCAAACAACCAAAATGACATTCGGAATCAGTCAACGACTGTCTCATTACAACTGTTATGGATCATTAATTAGCTGAAGTCACGGGTATCATGAGACATGTCTCTTATTTACAGTATAAAGTTTCAATTTGCAAATTCATATGTATATTATATATAAGAGGTAAAAAGAACCTTAGTTTCATTTCTCATAGAACTATAAGAAACATTCAATAGGAGAAAACCAGAATTGTTGTTGATCACGCTGAATAATAATTTACTTACCAAAGTTAAAACCTAACAAAATAGGAAGACGCAAAAATCACATTCTCGCATAAATCCTTTGTGAGGCTTAAGTGTCATTACAAGAATAGGGCTGCCCATCGATGACAACGTGGGGGGAATGACTTGAATATCTTCTATGTCTTTCCAAAGAAAGAAAAAAATTGTCTTGTGTCCAAAGAGATCTGCAGGAAACCCAACTATCCTTGGAAACTAAAATACGCGGCCCTGCTCAAAAGCAATTACAATTCAAGGGGATTGTTGACATTAAAGCAAAAGACAAATATAAATACTCAATCGGAAATTGTATAGAATCCTATAGTCATAATTAATGAAATTCATTGAGAATATATAATACAGATATAATTACCTGAAGGGGCATTCTGCGCTTCAAGTGACAACTGAACTCGTTAATCAGAAACTCCTCAAGTGGAAGTCCGAAGAGTTTTTGGAAAGCTGAATTTGTTTGAGGGGATCTTAATGTTATCTATAAAACATTTGATAAGAAAATAATAAATTCAAGGAAGGAGACTATGGAAAAAAAGAAAATCATTTTAGACGAAAAAGGAAACCATTTGGGTGTATATCTTCTTCCCAAATTCTTTCTCCATCTTGGAAAAATAATCTATGGCAAGGTTATTACCTTTCGTATTATTCAAGAAATTCTTAAATGCAACTTAGACTGACAGGCTTGAGCCAACTTCCCATGAAGGGGAACCAAAACAGACAAATATTTTAGTCTTTAGAAAATTAATTTCAGCACGTCCAGCAGATGTGGCTTCAATGAAAAGGACCATCAAAATCGAAAAGCTCCACAACCAGTATAGAAGGCGACTCATCCATCGTATCAAACTCAAAGATTTATGTATGTGAGGAAGGCTAAAATATAACTATAGTCAAATTTAGTATATGCACTTCCAGAAAAATTGAATGGTTAAACAAATAACTACAATACCACTCCACCTGGGATCTGAACTTTGGAACTTAATCGAGCTGGTTCTCGTATTCGCATGGCAACTGAAAACAACATATGGATCAGAAAATCCGGTTGAGCCTGAATCCTACAAAAGGTGTTCTAATTTTAAAGCCCGAGAGGAACAGATGATCGATTATAATCATTATAAAGATGAATGGAGAAGTATGTGAAACCTGGGCAAGGCATAAATCAGAAGTAAATTCATAAAAGCAACATGTGTCATCAAAAAAAGCAGTTGAAAAGTAACCATTTGTTGCATGAATTGTGACAGCTCGCACCTGGCGAATTTGGGAAATAATAAGTAAAAATGAATAGAAACTCAAAGTCAATGTCAACATTTAAACGAATGACAACAATAGCAATGAGCAAGCAACAGGAGAAACGAATGCACTCACAACAGTCAATTGAGACGCTCAAAGCAACCAGGAAGGGCCAAAACACATCAGCAATCAGGAGCAGTAACAAGTGGCGGGATATTTTTTCCAAGTTAGATTGCAATTCTCAAATGTTAGGTGCTGAAATTTCACACCACATAGTGTTATCCCTTGCACATAGATAACCTTCACTCATTAACCGAACTTCATCCATTAACTGAACATCTAAATCGTCATTAATTGGCATTTCATTTGTTGGCATCTCATTTCATTAATTGGTAAACCCACTTCAGTTTCTTATAATTCACTCATTTGCTGCATTGTTTGAGTGGCTTAAAGCAGGTTTAAAAATTGAACATTCATCCATATGAATATATTAGTTCATTGCGAATGAAAGAAAAAAAGTCGGAATCCCAAGGTCTAAGATAAATATTTCTTGAATTGGCCTAATTTTGTGTCTAACTTTTTTATTGATTAATTTTACAAAGATACGTTGAATTGAGACTTAGCAAGTTTTTACCAATACCAAATGGGGCTTCTAACCTAACAGTGAAATGACTTCAGATTGATATAAAAGTATAAAACAATAAGGATTTGGTTGACATTGGTTTGATATAAAACACATGGATCCACCTCACAATTTTTCCAGTCCATGTGATCAAGGTTCGAAATTGCGAATTGCGTAGTCGTGGCGTTTTTTTAATATTGCATATTGCATAAGCCTCATTGCGCAATGAGGCGTATAGCTGAGGCGTAATATATATATACATATATATATATATATATACACACATATATATATATATTATAAACATAATAAAAAATAAACATATTCATCAAAAGTCATCAAATGTTATATTAAAACAAACCATAAGAGGCCAAGTAAAGTAACATGTTCAAACTTCAAAGTAGAATACCAAAACATTCTGAATCATTTATCAAAACAAAAATCTAAGATATGAAAATTTAAATTAATTAGATTGATTGACTGAAAAATTCAATCAATAACTACTGGTTTGAAATAGGGATCATAAGATCAATTATAAAAATTTAAAAGTGGGCCGAGTGGGCCCAAAGAATACCCTTACACCCTGACCTCCTATTGCGTACGCCTCAGAGCGCCTTATTGCGTATCCAATATTGCGTACGCCTCAGTGCAATATTGCGCACATCACACTCCCAACGCCTTATGCAATGCCTTTTATGCCATAGTCCAGGAATTAGCTTAGACGCGCCATGAGGCGCAATTGCATTGCGCAATTACAAACAATGCATGTGATCCTCTCCTTGAACTCTGAACCTGAATGCCTGTACAAGAATTAAAAATGAACTCAAAATTATAATGACTTGTTTACATAATACAACATACTATGTATAACATAAACTACAAAATATTGAAAACACAACTTATTAAAACCTGTGATGTCATGGAGAATCAGAGAGATGCCATGGTTGCTAATTTTTGCAACTTCCACTATAAGAAAATTTCTTTCTTTATCTGAAACAAGTTAGAAAACCTAAAAAACATATTGCTACCGTGAAATTAATAAAAATAGGAATAATTAAATGGAGAAGCTGAAGGCACAAAAAAACTGATAAAACGCCAACATCCAAAGCTTTCGTGCACCAAGTTTTCTTAAAACACCAACATCCAAAATCTTAATAAACTGAATTATAAGAAAAGCAAATACACAGTTTCAATATCACCATACAGGACATAGAACGGTGGCCAAGTGCATTGGCAAACTCAATATTCATCTCCAAAAATTATAACACATATTTCCTGTTTTCTCTCATCCAGTTTGAAGATAGGAAAGTTAGTAACAAATTAATCAAGCCCTAAACAGTCTTGAGCTGACTTGTCAAACCATGCACTCTCCATATCATTGTCAGAAATACATTTGTTCTACTTGCTAATCCAGAAACTAAAGTGACTACTCCACACTCATAAAATAAAGAAGTAAAAACTTAAAATGTACCTCCAAATCACCGATTCATTCTCTGAATCTGAGACCAAAGCTGGTATTTGTCCCTGCTCTGTAGTTAGCCCCTGTTCGACCTTTTCTTCTCTTCTTCCTCCAGTTGCCTATATCCATCGCCACTCTGCCACACCCTGCACGAACCGCCTAAGCTCAGGATCTAAAAGCAAACCCTTCCCTCAAACTCTCGCAAACCAGATCACAAAAGAGAAGCAAAATAGGAGAACCGATGATTGCCTGGGCAGCAACGATACTCACGTTGGGCGGCTTCGGCGGTAGGTTTTTTGTGAACCCTAATCTCTGAATTTCAATAGCGCAAAAACTAAAATGAAGATTTGCGAGGGCGTTGAAGAGATAAAGCGCAGGAGCAAACGGAACAAACAGAGCAAGAATTCGCGGTTAGCTTCCTTGCGCCAAGCTACAGTGCCCATCCATCACTATTTTAACGGAATAGGACCATGTAACGGCTATTCACATTTTATATATATCTCTAATCTATCTAACATATTATAAGAGGGAATTTTGTTAAGGGTTTAACGGGCAAAAAAAAAATGTTGGTGTCTCTGCATGTATAATGTGATTGTACTTTATATTTATTTTGTTGTACTATGTTAATCTATCCAAGCTTAGGTTACTAACGGAGGGTTCAATGCCCCGTTAAATAAATCAGGTCTTGTGCTACACTACTACCTCGATAAAACCTATTGCAGCTTCCAGTATACGAAGTATTTTCTTTTCTTTCTTGCATCGATTAAACCCCTCAGCTCCCCTCTTCCGTTTCAGCCTCTCCACATTCTAGCCTCCATAGTAATGGCGTCGGAAGATCAGTTTACTTACTCAAAGGCCAGGTTATGGATTATAAATAATCTGTCCCAGTTGTTCAGCAGATTTTCGGATTCTCTATTGTTCTACTACTCCGGTAAGTTTTTCCTTTATTCAAGCAATTTTCATTGTTCTCCGCATCTCTGCTCATACCTGCGCCTTCGTGTACTTACTTCCCTGTCCGTGAAGATTTTTGTGTGTTTCCCTAATTTCAATTTTACCGCCTCCCTAACTCCTCTGTGTTTGTGCTATTCTTGCTCCCAGGAATTTTTATGGCATTAGTTTGGGTGGGTTGATGATTCCATCTTCCAGTTGTGTAATTTCCCCTTTAAACTGTTTTGGCTTGAATTTTTAGGCATATTGTTGAAAAAAATGACATTCACTTTTTACAGTAAATAAATAAATAAAAATTAATGCTACTGCAATTCTGGCTTTTGCTTTTAGTCCTTGGAAAGTTGCTTACTGGGTATAGGTTAAGAAAGGAAAACTATGATGATTGTATTTGAATAACAAGGGATGGTTGTAGGATAATGTCTAATGTTAAGCTATGTTGTAGAATGTTTTTGGTGAATTATTGTAACCATATGGATGTCTAACATTGGGAGCATAAGACTTTGAGTTTTGTAACTAACTGCATTTAGGATCATACTACGTATTATTGAAAGATATGTTTTTAGTTCTGCCAGTTGTCACTATATTCTATATTCAACTATTATATCTACTTTTTTTAGTTGAAAATGGATTCGAAAATCTTTTGGATATCTAAATAGGAGAGCAACTGCACAAAGCTAAAAACACATTTCATGTTAAAATCTCTTGATCAGGGACGGGACCTCACAAAAGGCTTTAAAGAGATACCCAAAAACATTGTTACCAATCATTCATTCGTTTGAACTTTGAAGTAGATCCATTTCATTTAAAATGCATTTTTAAAGAAATTTATATTCTAGCTTATCTAACCAATGAAGAGTGATAGATTTCTGGATTATAGTTTAAACCTGGAAGTTTTATTCTGCCGGCAAACTTCATATTTTCTTCATGACAGCCCATATATGATTTATATAAGCCAAGGCCATAGGGAAAAATATAGTTTCAGGCTCATAAATGAAAATTGTGAAAAAACTTAATTTTGTTTCATGGCTTTCAACTAAATACTGAATGGTTACAACAATTAAGTCATAATATGAAAAAACAAATCCATGTTTTTGCGTGATTTTCAGTGTGCATCTTTTTCATTAGACACTTTTAGTATCATTTTTCAGCGTTCTAGCTTTCAGAGACTAATTTCATCTTGTATGTACTTTTTAAATTTTTTAAGGCTTGGCAGATTGTTTGCAGTTTGAGGTCAACGTGTTTCATTTGGGGGTAAGATAATTTCCCACCTTCCATTGTATTTGGGGTGCAAAAGTTGTCTATATTTGCAATCGTTTCAGAATTTATTTTTGAAGTCTAATTTCATCTATGGAGTATACTTTTAAATTAATTTCTACGACTGCTGCAGTTTCTTATAGGTGGTAAGGGAAACAATATGAATTATAAGACTTTCTTTAAAGATATAGTAGCAAGAAGAAAATAAGTAATGTTGTCCCCTAAACATAAGAATATAAGTGAAACCAGTGCGTAACATATATAGTAGTAAACCTTTCTGGCATACAGCTTACATAAGTTTGGATATGCTTAGATAAGTGCATAGGTGCTCTTATGTGACTGCTCCGATGGAACTAAATCTAGAATTAGCATTTCATTTGAAGCTTTAGTCCAGGTTTAGATAATATAATTTTCTTGAGGATTGAACAAACCAATATCGATCTCTGTTCTAAAAGGTTTACATGTCTAAAAATACAGAGCATTATGTTTCAGTTTGTAGGGTGCAAGGTTTAATGTAATGTGTAGGAATTTTTGCTCAGAGAATATTTCCTTTCATCAAGCTGTTTTTAGAAACATCATCTATGTGGAATAACTTTGAATTTTTGTTCAGAGCTTTTTTGTATCATTTTCAGTTTCCCACCATTTGGAGCCTAATTTAACCTTGGATGTGCTTTTTGAAACCTTGTTTAGGCTGGGGAGATTGTTGGCAATTTGAGCTGAGCGTGTTTCATCTGGGAGCAAGGTAAACTCCCACATTCTATTTTGCTTATGCATTTCTTGTCTAACGTATTTTAGAAGGGCCACTGTTTTAAACACAAAATAGCAGTGTCAGATTTTTCTTAAATGGTTCATACAAGTATAGCCCTATGTCCCTAACATATAGGAGTCCCTAGCTACTAACATATTTATGAATATTTACTATAGTCCGACCCTTAAAGAGGTGTTTGCTTTTTTCAATACAAAAAAAAAACTGCAGCAAACTTTTGTTGATTAATCTGGCCGGTTCATTGATGGTCACCCATGTTGGATGGGTAATCTAGGTATTTAACTTATTTAGATATTTTTAATTGTTAATATTTAATTCATTGGCTACCAATGGTAACTAGAAGGTTCCATGTGGAATTACACTAAATATGTGTAGGATATTAGACTACTAAAAGTATTAATATGTTTTGGGCCCTTGTTTTAAAAAAGCGCAGCTGCTGCAAACAAAGTCGTGAGGCACCCTTAGGCGTGCCGCCCTTACGTAGATTCCAGGAGGCACACATCAGACGACACCTTTTTGGCGCCTTGTCCGTTTTCTGCGATTTGGCCGCTTCTGCCACCTTAGGGACGTTAGGCAATTCAAGCTCCCAGACTATTGGCTTCCCGGACTTTTGTGATTGCGTCAAAATGACTTGCGATTCAATCTTCCAGAATTTTCGTACAACTCTTTGTTGTGTGAGTTCCGACATCTTCTTATTCTTTCGTTGTGTATGTTTCGCAGCCTCTTAAGTATTGTCTTTCTACTCTTCCGCTCTTTAACCTTCAGTTCTTCTGTATCTTCTTTTGTCAAATTCATTTATAAATAATATAAATTAAACTGTTATATAGTTTATACCTAAGTACAATATGGCAGTGGCCTTCCAATTGTTCAAGGCCTTCCAATTGTCCAATAGTAACAGGTTTTTCAAATATATAAGAGTTTTTTTTAACAAATTTTTATATAATAATCTATTATAAAAACTACTATTAAGTATTACAATAACTTAGAATAAGTGAATGTTGATTACTATAATGGTGTAATGCCTAGAGCTCACTACTATGGCAGTAGCCCTCCAATCCCTGCTGTTTTTTATTTTAAAATTACGTAATTCATAAGACAATTTTTTAATTATTGACTTTTTTTAATATAATAGTTTATTTCAACAAATACTATTGGAATCATCTGAACCTTAATCATATTATGGTTCTTATAGTCATCTTGGCTATTTTATCTGCCCACATATATTCTAGCCTATAAATGCTTTGTTATTGATGCTTCTTTATCCATAAATAACAAACTGCATTTATACTATACTCATATTTTCACTAAACCTTTACCGATATATTGTTGTCCCTGTAATAGTGTTGGGCATTACCACGCACGCGCAACGCGCGTTATTAAACTAGTAGTAAGATATATACGTGCAGAGCATATACGTAGTATATAGTTATTGATATAGTTCGTATATCAACCACCTCCCGCGGTCCCCATTCTTTTTGAATTTGAATTCAGGAGACTTTATCTTCTCTTCTTTTTGTTTGCTTGGAAATTGATTATTGAGCAAACTTCTCAATTCAATTGATACACCAGCTTATTTTTCTTTTTTCTTTATTGATTACTCCAAATATATATATATATATATATATATATATATATATATATATATATATATATATATATATATATATATGGAGCGTATATAAAACACACTCCGTAAATGGGTAGTTTGTAAGTGATAAAGTGAAGATGTAATATGTGAAGGTGGGTTAAGGAAGGGTGTAACATTTAAAAGGCATAAGGTTATTTTTGTAAATTTAAGTGGCAACACTTCCTTTATTAACACTTCATTCTTTTTACTCTTCCAAACAGGGTTAATTTATACTTAACACTTACACTTACCTTCCCTTCCGGGCCCCTGTCAACACTTACTAACACTTCCATTACTAACACCTCCAAACACTCCATCCACACAGGCTGTAAGGGTAACTTGTTAAGGGTTTGTTTGGCCCATTTATACACCCCGACATTGTCCAGCCCGGTTCGGGCTGAGGGGGCGTGTTAAATCATTTGTCCCACACCGAAAAAAACTATAAAACAATAGAATACTATATAAGGCTTTGGGTTACTCCTCCTATCAGGTTCACCTTTTAGGATGGAACCCCGAGTTTTAACAGTTACAAAATCGTAGGGTGGGATGGTGGTGGTGTGTGTGTGGGGGGGGGGGGGGCTAGAGAGAAGGGAGAGCTTCTCTCTCTAACTCATTCCATTTTTTCCTCTTATTTGTGTATTTGTGACACTCATATCTTGCTTGAACTACTGCAGCTGCTTCTTCAACTTCAATGCCCTAGATGTTGGGAAATATTCCTTGATGAAGGCACTATGAAGCTGGTCCCAAGTCTAGAGATAGTGGTGTGGATTACTGTCCAATCATCTCTGCGCATCACCCTTAAGTGAGAAGGGGGAAAACATCATCCTCACATGATCATCAGCTACTCCAGGAATCTTGAAAGTCTGACACATCCTTTGAAACTATGCAATGGTTTGCCCTGGGTAGAGAGGGTTGTCATGCGGGACATAAGAATTAGCTGGAAGGGCTTGCAGTCTAGGCTGGAATGCTGGTCATGGTTGAACAGACGATACTTTGGGCTGATTGCGGTACTGGTTCTGGTAGGGTGGCTGGTTCTGGAATGGATTTTGGGTAATTGGCGGAATATTCTGACATGTTCCTTGCATCCCAAAGATGGATTTTGAAAGGTAGTTTCAGGAACAATAGAAACATTTTGGAAAAGTTGGTACAGTGGAGGAAGGTTGAGTTGCGGTGTGGATTGATTTTCGGGAAATACTGGTGGAGGGCGGTAGTTTTGGAAACCTGGAGTGCGGTTTCTAGGAGAAATTGACGGGGTAGATTGCGGTGAAGTGTTGATATAGAACCCAGATGTCCCAACGGTTCACCGCATCTGGGACCAATCTCCATGGCTACTCTTTGCTCTCGTAGAACCCAATGATTCTTTTTGGCGACCTTTTCTATCTCGAGATTAAGAGGGACAAACGGTTCTCCCCTCTTAGAACGTGTACGCATAAACAGATCTAACATACAAGGTTAGAAGACAAAAATCATACGAAAAAGTAAAAGCAAGTCATTGAGTTTTATTAACCCTTAAAACCGACACCGTCCTCGGCAACGGCACTAAAAAACTGATGTGAGTTTTCTCGCACTGAAAATAATGTAGCAGTATAGGGTATAAGTACGAGTATCGTCTCCACAGGGACAGATAAAAGGAATCGGGAATTAACTAAATCAGCGATTAAAATAAATAAATAAAAATGCAATTGTGCGAGATTTGATTTGTTGGAAAATTAAAACGCAAATAAACGATTAAAATAACTGGATTCTTTCTAACTAATGATGATAGGGAACAAGGATTGATTCAGGGGTAATTAGATTTCTGGCTGATCAGACTTAATCACATGAAAATTATTTAATTGAACAACACTGATCAATACTAAATTCTAACTGCTCTCGCGGCGTAGAGTGCATTAATTTAGGGAATCAGATTGATCTCTCATGCGACAAATTTCTAAACTATTGCCAAAGCGAGCGAGCGTACGACCCCTTAACCGTTACTAATCTCTTAGCGAACGATTAAGTGTGTGTGAAAGTGTCCTAGAATAAATTAGATATCTTTTAATTTATTCTAGGTTACACGAGATATCAATTAGATCATTCAAACAAAAATTAAATAAAATTCATGCAATTAATCCCTCTGCCAAAACATGACAGTAATTAGTCATATTTTGGGAATAAAAACATGGCAGTCCCATTTTGGAATTTTCAAACCTTTTTAGTCCTATTTCAGGTAATATTTTCAAAAATTTATAAAATATATTTTTTTTTTCAAAAAAAAAAATTAAAAAAACTAATACTATCGTATAAATAAATTTAAAAAGGACTAAAAAGGTTGGAGATCTGCCAACATTTGTAGTAATGCCATAATAATGGCAGATTCAATGATAGTTTTGGCATTATGATGAGTAATAATGCCATTTTCTTGGCATTTTCAAAAAACAATGGCATTTTTTTTACAAATAGTGGCAGAACTTTCACCAATCGGAGTTATCCATTTTTTATGGGTTTTTACTATTTTTTTTATTAATTTGTTTTAAAAAAAATCTGCCAACAATTCTAGTAATGCCATAATAATGGCAGATTCAATGAGAATTTGGCATTATGAAGAGTAATTATGCCATTTTCTTGGCATTTTCGGAAAAAATGGAATTTTTTTAATAAAAAGTGGCAGAATTTTTATCGATCGAAGGTGGTGGTGTCGGGAGGCAGTGGGAAAGAAATCCATTTTTTTTTAAATTTTTTTATGGATCTTTACTATTTATTATTATAATTTTTTTAAAACAAAATTAAAAAAAATTGTTTTAGTGTTTTCATTTATTTTTTTTTAATTATTTTTTGTACGATTTTCAAAAAAAGTTTGCGATTGTTTACTATTTTTTAAGATTTTATTATGAATTTTAATATTTTATTATGAAATAATACCCTTAGGGGCATTTCTGGTAGGAATGAATTGTTTAGTCCTATTTTGGATGGTAAAAAATGTAGTGGTTCTATTTGTGCATTTTAAGTCCAAGTTAAAAAAATATCTTAAAAAAATCGTAATACTACGTACTACCCTCGTTCTCTTTTAAATGCAACGTTGGACTTTTTGCACTATTCACATGTTCTACTTTGACTACGTTTTATTTATTAATGTAATAATATATATTTTTGAAAAAAATATTATTAAATTTTTCTCATTATAAATTTTCAAAATCTATTTTTTAAACTTTTTTTACTAATCGGGAATTATATATACATAGTATTAATGATCAAAGTTGTGCCTCGGCAAATGTGAAATGTTGACTGCTGCATTTATTTAAGAACGGAGGAAGTATTAAAAGAGCAAGATTAATTAAAAGCGGGCCAGCTAGCGGTTGGTGACCAATGAGAATTAAAGTAGCGTAGCGATACATATATTGATGGTCATAGATAAATTGAAGATAGATTCTATAGTAATTATGAATTACTCCGTATTATTGTATATAGTAATGGGGCATGCATGCATGTTTAATTAATTTCTCGATCTGATGATGGAGATGGAGGTATGAGGTAGCTAGAGCTGGCGGTAGCTGAGAAGAGAAATCTTGGCTTGCTGGCAACGCTGGACATAAAGAACAGTATGCGTTGAAGTAGAATGGATAGAATTTGCCCAGGGAGGGAGGGCGTAGAAGATGCCGGCCTCGTTATCCTGCGGCGGCAGCTTGGACAGCCCCCATAGAGTGGTTCCAGGGGAGAGGTGGTCAATCCTGAACTTGAGATCCGTAATGGTTGTGTTGCTATTAGCAGCTGTGATCACAACCTTGTGGTGGCAGTACTGGGTGTTCCCGACGCTCCACTTGGAAACTATGGAGTGCATGAGCTGCACGGCGGCGGCGGCGCCATGGTTATGTGACGAGGACAAGACGGCGAAGAGCAGGGACGCAGTGGAGGTGCCAGACAGGGTTGGCTCGGACTGTTCGTAGCTATCCCTCGCATCAAGATAGGTGTCGTCTTTGGCGGGACCGCCGACAAGGGCTCCGGTGATGACGTAGGGATTTGGATCGGAGGTGGGGTAAAACTTGGCGTAGCCGCCAGCGCAGAGGCGTTCAGGGCCGTCCATAGACAGTTGTCGGTAGGCTTCGCTGTTGACGTCAATGGAGGCAGCTCTGTGGTGAACTCGCTGAGGAAATTTGGGGCCGACCCCGACCACGTAACTCATGCCCATCCTGTTTTTGCCCAAGATGTAGTCCGCCTGAGATCGGGCGGCCTCCAGGATTTGGTCGTCAGTGAGGGATTCGCCGTTGGAGCACCTCACGCCGCGGCCGTCGAGGTACTTGGAGTAGATGGCCATGACGGCTGCGTTGGCGGAGGCGTACTCCAAGTTGTTCCAGGGACGGACGTAGATCAGGCCTCCCGGGGTGAGCTCCACGTTGTCCGCGGCATTCTGGTTCTTCTGCATGCAGGCGCAGGTGAAGAAATCTGCTCTCTCCTTGTATTTCTGCAGCCCCTGCAGCTCCTGCTTTTCCTCCATGTAAATCTTTGACACCAGCACCTGAACCGCCCCGCATTTGGTTTCCCACGAAACCTCCTTCATCTGGCAATCATCGGTTACAGACGCTGCATTTTGCACTACGTAATCCAGGTACTGTCTCTCATTTGTTGCCTTGTACAGCCAAGCCGCTGCCCATACCACTTCATCCTACACCCAGGCCACACGTACGTACTACTTTATCAATCAATTCAAAGTAAATTAAATTTAATTTGGTGTCATATCATATACTTCGTATATATAGATCACAATGGCCTGGGAAGAAATTAAAACCTAGCTAGCTAGTTAGGTTCTACTAAATTTGAGATGTTAATTTGCAAGAAATGAATGGTTGAAATTGAATGTTCCCAATATAACAAGTCATAGAATAATATTTATCAGAACACATGCATATATACATATGTACTGACCTCATTCTGATAAGACTTGTAGTACTTCGAAGCACCTGGGATTGAGTCCTGGTAAGATCCTTTATGTGCCGTAGCAAACGTGAAAAGCTGCATGCATATGGCTAGTGTAATTAATAATTACAAAGTATCGAAACCCACACATCCGAAGTATATAATTTGATTCAAATAAATAATAATCTTTAATTGAAATATGAGAATTAATGTTGATCATTGTTTCGAGAAATTTGAAGGACCAGATAAATTTAATTAAAAAATGCAGTGGCAATAATGTAGAACTATTTTTAAATAGAGTATGCAAATAGTACATGATCATACATAAGAATTACATTTGTGTAATTAAAAGTCACCAATACCTAAATCAAAGATGCATTTAAAAAATAGTGTGGTGTGATTTGCTATTTAGACATGCTCTCTTGTGAACACTTGGAGATGCACCTTTCTCCAATATTGTATATTTAAGATTAACCTATATTATAATTTTATTACTTTATTTTTTCAATTTTAAATAATTTAGTCTATCAATTTTTAAGGTCTTGTTTGGTTTGGGCATTTTTGAGGTAAAGGGACGGAAGAATTGATCTTTTATTTACTAATTTATCTAAATTTGTTAGCTCTAGACTACAAATAGCTATATATTTAGTTAGACCATTTAGTACGTTTTACATACTACTCCGTATGGAGTATATACTATTGTATCCTCACCATGTATTTTTTTTCACTATGCTTCATTACATTTTTGCACTTAAAATAAATTTTGTTTTTAGATATAAACCTGCACTTACAAGTTGCGTTAATTATAAATACATACACCATTATTTGTCCCTTACTCGATTTATTTATTTATTAACATAATATAAAAAAACTAAAAACATTGTGACAAATTTATTTCCGACAAAGTAAAATTTGTTAGGTAGGATTTCATGTTTTTTTTGTCGATGGAATATTTTTTAATTTATAACTAAATTTTATAATGTTTTTCTTAATGGGTTCAGGTATATGTGACATGAGTGAGATAATATCTTAAGTGCATGAATTCGACCCCTCACGACAAATCCTTGATATATACTACGTATGCCATTGACAAAAAGTGTGTACACTTTTGTGAATTTGTGTACTTGTAGTTTTCTTCTTCTCAAAACAACGTTAATGTCACCAACTTTGTTCTCCCGGTTCATTCTAACTTTTATGTTAGGTGTATGGAGTAATTACTTGAACCCATCCTTGTATAAATACTTTGTGTGTACTCCCTACGTACGGTTTTAATTTAGCTGTCCTACTTTTCTTTTTGGTTGTTTGAAAATGAATATCATGTTTTTTTTTTGCCAAATGTTATGCAGTGGTCCTTATCATTTCACATTAATCTCTTCAAATCTTGACCAAAACTTTTACTTTTCAAACACTTTATTAATAATCATGTCAAATCAAAACATGACAAACAAATGCGATGAAGATAGTACTCCCTCCGTCCCCCAATTAAGTTCCTGGTTTGACTTCACACATATTAAAAAAATAAATTTGACTTTACTGTGGAGTGCACTATTTTGCACTGTTTAAACATTGTTTGACACTGTTTGGCACTGTTTGACACTGTTTTGATGTAGATTATTTGCCAAATAAGAAAAGTATTGAAGTATGAACTTAATTTAGGGACTGCCCAAAAAGGAAAGTGAGAACTTAATTGGGGGACGGAAGGAGTAATATTTATGTGGGCGTGTCGATGGATGGGAATGCAGGACAGGGGGAATGGACCCACATGCCACTGGGAGAAAGCGACAGTCATTGATGAGGGCCCAAAGAAGGGATGATGATATAAAACTTAGGTAGATTCTATGGTACCCAAAAGGTACCATACCTTTGTCCACTTGGACCAAACAGAATGTTGTAGTTGAATTATTTAAATCTAAATTAAAAATGATGTAATGATTTGGACCAATCATGTGAGTGGTAGGTACGGTACTTCATTTTTTAAATGGGTACCGGAGTTGTCACCTAAAACTTATTCTCAAACCGTTGAACTTTGACATGGAATATATAGTCTGTGATATGTTTTTTATAATTTGGATTTATGTGATCATTATAATTAAATGTATGAAGAAATAAATGTGAACGTAAAATTGAAAATGAAAACTAAATAAAAACTAATAGAGACAATTCATAATTATTCATAAATAATTATATCCATGAATTATCTCTTGTACTTTATTTAAATATAAACATTATCTTGGAATATATTTAAATATATATGTATATATTTATTGGAATGCGCTTGGTTATTACAATCTAATTATTTTGGAATAAACCTAATTTTTTTTTTATTAGGACTAAATAAATACTAATTTTTAGAGTTGGGCGAGGGTTGCTCTAAATACCGACGGGTCAGTTATACCTGAAACCGAACAAGCAATTGCAGGTTTGTTACGCGATGCGGATGGTCGCTGCTTGGTAGCTTATAGCATGAACCTTGGGATTTGTTCGATCACTAGGGCTGAATTGAGAGCTACTGCAACAGGATTGCAGCTGGCTTGGGAGAACGGATATAGGAAGGTACGAGTGTAGCTGGATTCACACACCAGCACTCTTCTGAGGTCGCCAGATTTCGTGAGTTGTTGGATAGGGACCAGATGATTAAGGTTGAACATATTTATCGGGAAGGCAACCAGGTTGATGACTATTTAGGTGGTCTTGGTCATAGTTTACCACTTGGTGTACATGATATTTCTAGGAATGATCCTACTTTGCCATCTCATTTATTGTATGACTTTTTTTGGGATTTTCCAACCTCGGTTGATTATGAATAAGAGATAGGAGCTGTTGCGCCTGAGCTAACAAAAAAAAGAGGACGTAATTAAAACAACTTTGCTGGGTGAATATATTTATGGTGCAGAATTGTAGGAAAAAATTGAATTGACAGAGTAAATACACCATTTTAGTACAAACTATAATTGGGAATTTGATTTGTTGACAGAGTAAGATTGCGGGTAGTCTTAGGGATGAAGGGCAGGAACGGGAAAGTTAATAAGGAATTAGAACAAAACTTAACCCCGCCCCCTTTGGTGCCTCTCAACCTCCATTCTTAAATTAATATAACATGTTTTGACTATATTTTATTTATTATTGTATTACAAATTAATTTTTTGAAAAAACTATAAAAAAGTAATTTCCCTAAATAGGAGTGATGGCCATATTCGCTAAATAGAAGTCCATGTTTTATGTTCCCTAAACAGGACTAAACATTATCTTTCTACCCCTTAATATAATTAATTTTACACTTACATAATTGATTGCCCCTAGTTCCCTAGCACAATCGGGGTAGTCTGGCGATTGACGGCGGCAATGGCAAGCCCCATCCTATTCAGGGGTATTCTTGTTCAATCGCAAAAAAAAACTTCGGAAATGTTAAATATTCACTCCTATTTTTGTCTTTTTAACATGTGTTACTCATATTATGGGAATGAAGAGGTTTCTAGCTAGTCACATCCATTTTAGAATGAGAAATTCTTATAATGAGAACTTTTTTATCACAATTTTTCATTTTATTCAATCATTGATTAGATGCACATGAGGTTGTTTGTGTAATTATTCAAAATTCAAACAAGGTCTTTTGTAACCCTTGATTTAATATATCAAAGGTGGAGATTAAAAGTTTTCATTTATAAATGAACTTTCATTTTAAAAGAGGACAAGCGGAGGAAAAGAGCTAGCCCAGTGACTAGAAATTATCTCATCGTGAAATTACTGGTAAATTCCATCGTACAGCCGGCTGTACCGTGCGCACGGTACAGCCGGGCTTTTTGTTCTCTGCGCAGCACAGGCCGTCGTCCCCCGGAGGCGTCTCTCGCACCGTGTGGATCTCTTCTACGTCCTTCAGAGGCTTCGCTCGACTGTCTAGATCTCCGGTTCTCCCCAGCTCGCTTGGTTCGTCGCTTCCTCGCCACGGAGATAGCTTCGCTCGCCTCTTAGATTTGTGAAGATGGAGCTCTCAAACGAGGTGTATGGTGGATTTCGCGATTGACGGGAAAGAAAGAGGCATCTCAACCCTAGATTTGGCTCCTAATTCTTCTTTTCTTGTTTTTTTTACGAAGTATACACGTAGTTTTACTAATGAGTATACATGAATAAAAAGTTGAGCATAATAGAGATTTAAATGGGCTTTTTTGAATTGTCCAATGCTCATTTCCTAATTCATGTATGCTCATTTCGTATTGGTGTAAACTCATTCACACACAAATTAATATTGAGCAAATTGAAAATGAGTTTTATGTAAAGTCAAACGAGTATAATGCCAAGAATGAATGAGTATACACAAATGTGCTTTTGAATTTTTTGATACTCATTTTGTAAGTTATGAATGCTTATTTGGTATTGCTTGATGCTCATTTATAAATGTTTCACATTTAACGTATCATATTACATTAGATTCACATAATTCAATAATTTTTTTATAAACGAAAAAAATAATAAAAACAAATTGAATTATAAGATACGAAGTAGAGATCATTGATACTCATTGTTAAACTCCGATCCTAATGCTCAAAGGAACAGACTCGATGCTCATCAGAATTGCATAAATGCTCAGTTAAGAGAAATATGGACTTTCACGATTTAACAAAATTGCCACCGGCTGTACGGTGCCAGCCGTACAGGCGGCTGTATCATATATGCTTCCGAAATTACTTTTATTTTAAATTTTCAAAAAACAATATTTTAATTAGCAGTTGGCAATTCAATATATATTTCATACGTAGTATTAGCAAGCTAGCCCAAACGTTAAAGTGGCAATTCAAAAACGGAAGAATTATAAGATAGGGTAGGTGAGTGACCTGCTGGGCATGCTGTAGCAGTGTATGAGAATAGGAAGAGTCGCGTTGTTTGAATGCGATGGAGGCGGCAGCAAGAGCAGCCGAAGTTTCGCCTGCAACATCTGAGCCTGGGTGCGCCTCGTCGATCTTATATGCGGTCCTGGAGGTTGTCATATCCTCTGGCCGCATCCAACACAAATGATCCGAGTCTCCGTCTCCCACCTACCATACCACACCCATCATACATACATACATTTATATACAAAAGTAATTAATGCCCATTTGATCACAAATGCATACTACTCACAGGGAAATGCCAATTTTTGTGTTAACTTTTCTTTGCTTTTTAACTTTTCTTCTTTTATTTACCTTACTTTTTATTTTATGAATAAAATCGTCTTTTTCTTAATAAAAAAATAAAACCAAAAAAAAGTATGTATTGCACAACTCTCATTGTAACAACGGAACAACCTCAAGCTCATCCCATATTTAATTCAAAACAAACAAAAGAAGACTTACGGGCACATCGAGGAACACAATTACACGTAGTATATACGTAGTACTCGGTATGTGTGTGTTTTGGTTCAAGTGAGAAATGCATCTAATGTGAGAAATGAGAATAAATCTCAGCCGTTGGATTTCCGATTTTGCACTGAAAATAGCTTGATGATGTTGCAATAAGATTTAATTTTTTGCGGTGTTGCACTAAAACTGTTACATATTGCACTAAAATTTGACGACGTTGCACCAAAACAGCTTCATGTTGCACTAGATGGCTGTGATACGGATTTTCAGAAAATGCCACCAAACGAGGTTGCATATTTTAGTTAGGGGTGGGTCTGAAAAACCGAAAAACAAAAACCGAATCGAAAAAATCCGAACCGCAACCAAAACAACCGATCCGTAAGAAAACCGAAACCGAACTAAAAAAACCGAACCGTAGTTCTTTGGTTTCGGTTTTGGTTTTCACATCTCAACACCGAACCGAACCGAATAAACCGAACTTTTTGAAAGTTTTTATTTTATTTATTAATCATTAAGTATAATATTTTGTTTAGTTCTTAATTCTTAATTCTAGAAAATTAATGTTTGCTACTATATTTATTATGATTTGCAAGATATTATACAAGTATGGTGTATACACATACTCTCATTGCTTGGAAGTGCATTTGTATCTTCCAATGATAATTAAATTAGAAAATTTTAATTATCATGTGTATAATTAATTTAGAAATTTTTTAATTAATTTAGAAATCATTTATATCTTGCAAATCATAATAAATATAGTAGCAAACATTAATATTTATGCATAAATTAAATTTAATTAATTTAATTAAACGCATAAATTTTCTAAATTAATTAAACGATATAATTAATTGATTTGATACCAATTTAAATGCATTTGTATCTTCCAATGATAATTTAATTTATCATGTGTATACAAATTTAAATACTTTGTATATTTATTATGATTTGCAAGATATTTATATTTAATACTTTGATCTAGTGAGAAACCCTCTTAAAATGAGAACCCGTGAGAACCGGTGAGAACAGGTGGGAACCGGTGGTATTTTTGGCTGAATTTTTTTGTGTATGTTCCTCATCAAGTCTAGTTCATCCATACCAAATTTGAGCAAAAAATTCAATCGGGAAGGTCGTCAAATGATTTTTAAAAGAAAACTGCGTTTTATATGTATATTCCGGACCAGTTTTAACAAAATTCCCTCTTATAATATGTTAGATATATACACACACACATAGTATATATATATAGAGTAATGATCTGGTCAGGCGCGCCTGACCAGATGTGCTGTGCGGACTTGCGCGTTTGGGGCTATTTCCGGTGGATTTTTTTGATGAAGTATTTTGAGCATGTTCTTCATCAAGTCTAGTTTATCCGTACCAAATTTCAGCTAAAAATTCAACCGGGAAGGCGGTCAAAAAAATTCCCTACGAAAACTGGGCATTATATATATATATATATATATATATATATATATATATATATATATATATATATATATATATATATATATATATATATATAAACAGAGCAGGTTTCGTAGGGAATTTTTTTTGACTGTCTTCCCGATTGAATATTTAGCTAAAATTTGGTATGGATAAACTAGACTTGATTAGGCACATGCTCAAAAATTTGATCAAACAATTCCACCAGGAAGAGCCCCAAACAGGCAAGTCCGCACAGCACATCTGGTCAGGCGCGCATGACCAGATCATTACTCATATATATATATATATATATATATATACATATACATATATATATATATATATATATAGAGAGAGAGAGAGAGAGAGAGAGAGAGAGAGAGAGAGAGAGAGAGCAGATCGTATCAGGCCGGCCTGACGGGAACCGCCGTCAGGCCGAGGCCATTTGAGGCCCTTCTAGGTGGAATTTTTTGATGAACTTTTTTGTGCATGTTCCTCATCAAGTCTAGTTTATCCATACCAAATTTCAGCTAAAAAATTCAATCGGGAAGGAAGTCAAAAAAATTACCTACGAAAGCTGTGCATTATATATATATATATATATATATATATATATATATATATATATAAACAGCGCAGTTTTCGTAAATATTTTTTTTGATTGTCTTCCCGATTGAATTTTTAGCTGCAATTTGGTATGGATAAACTAGACTTGATGAGGAACATGCTCAAAAAAATTCATCAAAACATTCCACCGGGAAGGGCCTCTGATGGCCTCGGCCTAACGGCGGTTTCCGTCAAGACAGCCTGACAGGATCGGGACTATATATATAAATATATATATATATATATATATATATATATATATATATATATATATATATATATATATGTATATATATATATATATATATATAGAATTTGGTTCAAATAAAAAGTACTTCATAGGTGAAAAATAAGAACTAATCTTGGCCGTTGATGTGAAAAAATGGATGGAAGAGATCAATTTTTAAGTGGGAAACGCGGTGGCATTTGTGTAATTATGGAGAACTTTTTTGGAAAATATTGTGAGAAATGTGTATCAGAATAGTCAAAAATAGGGGTGGGCATGGGTCGGGACGGTTCGGGATTAGGGTTATCCCGGTCCCGTCCCAATTAATAATAACGGTACGGTACGGTACGGGATAAGCCTTTGTCCCAGTCTTGTCCCATTTAAATCGGGACCGAGATGATTCGGAATGGTTTGGGACGGTTCGAGAAGTCCCAACAAAAAATAATCATTTGTAATTAATATATATTAGCATTCCTAAAGTATCATGCACTAAAATATTAACATTTTAAAAGTTAATTAATGTTCATCACAAGCTAAAAGCTACTACGTATTAGATTTTAGTTAGGTTTAGCAAAATTTGAAATTTAAATTTAAAACAAAGCAAAAATGAATTATTTTATTCAAAATCATTTGTTCTAGTTGTGAGATACTCATATATAGATATATAAAGTGAGATAAAAATCTATGTTAGTAAATATTTATTTTAGGTATTATTTTTAATTTAAAAATCGGGCATGAAAACTAAAAACATGTTATCATTTATTTTTTGAGTTGACATTACAAACTAGTTACATGCTACAAAATCTATATAGTTATTACAAACGGGACAACGGGACGGTTCGGGATAACCTTCCAATGTCCCGGTCCCGTCCCGTTTGAAACCGGTACGGGACCGGTGCGGGACAAAATCAATGAGACCCAAACGGAACGGGACAACACCGGTACGGTTTCGGGATATACCGGAATGGGACAACGGGACCGGGATTCTTGCCCGCCCCTAGTCAAAAAGTGCACACGTAGAACACAAAAGTGCAATACGATATCAAATAAAAAGTGCACAAGTTTGAAAATTTTGACAATCTTTTTTGACACGCGTGAGTGCACTTTTGGTTAGTAGCTATCCACTTTATAGTGTAAACATTTGCACATTTTTTGAAACCGTCTCTTATGTTTAAAGTTCATCTAATCCATCCATTTTCAAGTGATCAAAGGTCAAGATTTATTCTCACTTTTCATGGGAAGACTACTTTTTACTTGAACCCATCCATATATATATATATATATATATATATATATATATATATATATATATATATATATATATATATATATATATATATATATATATATATATATATATATATATATATATATATATATATATATATATATATATATATATATATATATATATATATATATATATATATATATATATATATATATATATGGTGCAGTTCCAGTGAGAACGCTGCTTAACGTGAGAACAATCACTTTTAAATCAATGGGGTGCACATTGGAGCTATTATGTTGCACATTTTCAAATTGGTCGAATTAAGCCTATATTAAATAAACACGGTGGCATTTTGGTAAATATTGTTAAAATGTGTTAACGTGCAATATGTAAGCTTCATTGTGCAACACGTTGGGGTAAATGTGGTGTTCTCACGTTCTCACGTTAAGCAATGTTCTCATTTGATCTTTATTCTATATATATATATATATATATATATATATATATATATATATATATATATATATATATATATATATAGAATAAAACACAGTTATCTTTCAAAAATCATTTGAAGACTTCCCCAATTGAATTTTTTACTCGCATTTGGTATGAATGAAATAGACTTGATGAGGAACATAAAAAAAATTCAGCCAAAAATACAACCGGGAACCGCCTCAAATTGAGGTGGCCAGATCACAGTCCTGTTCGGCCTGGCCGGTCAAGGGCATTTCGGGCTCTTCTCGGTAGCGTTTTTTGATGAATGGTTTTTTAGCATGTTCTTCATTAAGTCTAGTTTATCCGTACCTGATTTCATCTAAAAATTCAATCAGAAAGGCAGTCAAATAAATTATTTACGAACACTGCGCAGTAAATATATATAAACAGCGTAGTATTTTTCAAACAAATCATTTGGTTGCCTTCCCGATTGAATTTTTAGATGAAACTTGGTATGGATAAACTTGACTTGATGAAGAAAATGCTCAAAAAAAACTCTCGAAAAATTCCACCGGAAAGTGCTCGAAATGCCCTCGGCCGGACGGCGGTTCCCGTTAGGCCGGCTGGACATGAAGATTTGTCTATACACACACACTTAAATTAAATGTATTAGAGTTAAAAAAGCTGGAATTTTTTTTTCTACCTTTCTATTACACAAAACACACTTTTTAATCAAAATTATTACTATTAAAAATCAGTATTCTTGAGTACGTAGTAATAATTGAGATTTTAAGTTTGTACCCCATCTTAACATGTTGAATATTTTAGTGGCAATAATTTTAGACTTTGTATATGTCTTAATAAATAGTTATCGATGATTTTCATGACGTGCAAGAGATAAGTTCTGAATATGAAGTGACGTGCTATTCTAGATAATGATTTCCAATTTTTTTATAATTGTTTATAGATCATTTGATCTTAATTAACATTATATATAGTATTTTGTGTTAGTGTTATGTACTTTATCTCGGCCCCTCTCGCTCCGCCCTGACATAAATGGTATAATTTGCGAATAGTGTAGGGGTAGTTGATAAAAACTTGGGGTGAGCAAAAATTCTGGCCCCGATGTCCCAAACCGTAAAATCTCGATACCGTTGCGAAACTATCCTGATCCATTTAGGACGCAACTATTTCATCCCAAACCGGTCTCGCACTGATATTAACCGGGACGGGACCGGGATAGCTATAAAATATCATGTTCCATCCCGGTGTCCCGTTTGAAATTAATACTCCCTCCGGTTTTTAATAAACTTCACACTTTCCTTTTTGGGACGGTCTAAAATAAACTTCACACTTCCTTATTTCCTTTTTTGGCAAAGAAATCTACATCAAAACAGTGCCAAACAGTGCCAAACAGTGTCAAACAGTTTCTCAACAGTGCCAAACAGTGTACTCTACAGTAAAGTCAAATTTCTTTCCTTATTTTGTGTGAAGTCAAAGAGTGAAGTTTAATAAAAACCGGAGGGGAGTATGTTATTTCAAATTTCTAAGAGAAAACTATCAAATAAGCCCCCTACAACTTCAAAAAAGTCAATTGAACCCCTCAACTAACAACAACCAATTAGACCCACGAACTCTAGTTTTAAATGGGACAATATTGGGATGAAGACTCATCTCGTACCATACCAAACCGTTATTATAAAACCGGGATGGGATCGGGATAAGTGAAATCCCGGACCGTCCCCACCCCTAGATAAAACATGAAAGCTCGAAGGAAGTAGATTAATGATATTTTCCCAAGAATAGGGTCGTACATGATTAAAATATACTCCCTCCGTCCCAGGGAGAAGTTCCCGGGTTGACTTTCACACATATTAAGGAAATAAAGTTACTGAGGGGTAAATTTTACTGTTTGACACTGTTTCGACACTGTTTGGCACTGTTTCGACACTGTTTGACACTGTTTTGCACTGTTTAGCACTGTTTGGCACTGTTTTTATGTAGGATAACTTTCCATTTAAGGAAATGAGAACTTTTTGTTGGGACTGCCAAAAAAGGAAATTGGGAACTTCTCCCTGGTACGGAGGTAGTACTATCTGTTAAAAATGATGGATAATGTGGTAGAATGTTTTGTGTGATAAAATTTGATCTTAGCTAGGTAGAGAATGAAATAGCTAGTAGGTAGCTAGGATGGGATGGGAAGTACGTAGTATAAGCTAAGCTACCTGTACGAATAATGTGTTGGGTTGGGTGTGAGCGTTGATGAGGTAGTCGGTGCCCCATTTGATGGCATCAAACAAATCGGAATGGGTGGAGAAGTGATCTGCTGCGGCCCAGGAGAGCATGGTCATGGCAAAGGCCATGGGCAGCCCAAACTTGACATTGTCTCCGGCGTCATAATACCCTCCCACCAACTCCGCCCCCTCAGCCTTTCCATCAGACAGTGCTGAATCCCAACGCCAATTGATGGAATTGTCGCTCCCCAATCTGCCCGACCTCTGGGCTTTGAAAAACAGCAGAGTCTTGCTCAGAGCGTCACCGTAGTCGTATCCCTCCGCCGCCGCCGCCAGCAATACTAATAATGATATCCTTATTTCTCCCCTCCCCATCGTCATCATCCAATAATCCCTACCCACCTCTGCCCTCTCTTATTATCATTCATACATCTAAATGGGAAACGAATATATATAAATCAGGCAGGAGGACTCATACATCCAACTTTTTTTTAAAACATAATCATATGCTATCTTTTGTTTATCAACGCCGGGATCTAATTAAAAGTTTGGGGGATTTACCTAAACAAGACTAAATAAATCATTAATTGTTAAAATAGGACTAAAATTTAGAAATTCCCTAAACAGGAGTTATTATTTGTACTTGGACAGAAATAACCCTGAAACTTGGAAACACATACTCCTGGTGACAGAAAGCCGGACTGCCGCCGGTCGCTGCCGGTCGCCGGCGCTGCCTCAAAAAGCTCACTGATGTAGATCTGCCCGCCCCCTCTGCAGATCTATCGGTCGCCGCTAAAGATTGCCCCCACCGCGGTAGATCTGGCCAAATGGAGCCGCCACCGGTTGCCCCATGCAGATTCGGCCGCCACTGGGTCAAAAACCGGCCTCCACCCTGAAGATCTGGCCATTGTGGGCACTAATGTCAAATTTTTTTATCAAAATGCCAACATAAATTGAGAATGTCATTTTAATGGCATTTTCAAAGCAAAACGTGGAATTTTCGAAGAGTAATATTGCCATTTTGTTGGCATTTTTGTAACAAAATTTGACATTTTTTAACAATCAAAGAAACAGAAATTTAGATCTGCAACAAATTCGAAGAGGAGGAGAAAATCTGGAAGCCAAGAGAGATTAAAGAAGAAGAAGAAAAAGATGACAGAAGAAGAGAGGAGAAAAACGACCAACGAGCTACTTCGAACCGGATTTGGATGCTCACGGTTGCTCCACCATTTCCCACCGCTGCTCAACGCTGCTCACCGTTGGACCCCTCTGCTCGCCGCCTTTGCTCGCTGCCTCACCTCGAATCTCGCGGCCGCTGCCTTACCTCAAATCTCACGGCTGCTGTCTCAAGCTCGTTTTGCAGAAGATGAAGGAGAGAGAATGGACTGCCTCACTGCCGTATAGATAGCTTAAAGATGATGCACACGTTTTGAAATGTTGAGATTAAAGGCAGGGCAGATTTGGAATACAAGTCCTAATTAGGGAATAAAAATAGAGATACTCCTGTTTTGGAATTTCAACAACTATGTAGTCCTATTTAGGGCTAATACCCGTAAAAGTTTTCCTACTCCACTTTTTTTCATTGTTACTCGGTATATATTAACTTTATTCCTTTTTCTAGTTTCTAAATACAATTATGAGCGACATTTAATTTATTACGTATCGAGAGTATTAAAAGGTTTTACTCGACTTATTTCAAATCCACACCAAACACGTCACATCAAAATACACCACGTCCGGCTAGACAGGGACGGATCCAGGATTTTGCGTCAAGGAGGACGAATTTTTTCAGTTAGTGTCAGGTGAAAATAGTTTCGCTAATGTAGCGGGCGAATTTTTTTCGATACTATAGGGCTATGCGGCTAGTTTTTATTCCAAAAAATTCCATTAAGACACACACAGTGACATTCTTAAGCTTTAAATCTATTAGTAGTACATTCTAAATCTAGACAATGGAAAGATAACTTTGATTTTATAATTGAAGTGCTCTAGCAAAAGTACAGATACATTAAAGTGTAAGAAATGGAAAATCAAATAAAAAATATTTGAAAATAAGAATGAATATATAACATTTTATCAAATTATTTGAAGACAACAAGTTTAAAAGGTACACATCGACCAATAATTTTGAAATAACTTCTGTCTTGTTTAACCACATAAACCTTATCGGAATAAAGATTTGGTTTTGTATTGCAATTTTAGTCTACCAAAGAGGGTGTTCGTGAGTCACAAGGAGTTTTCTTAATATTATACTAATATGTACGAATTTTTTTAATAATACTACATATTATATTGCTAATTCATATATATGGTGCAATACATTATTTTTAAAATAATACTCCGTATTATTTTGCTAAAAAAAATTAAAGGCTATTATCTATGCAATACATTATTTTTATAAAGTAAGAAGTAAATGAATAGTTTAATTTAATTTAATGTCAACAAGCACCTATATTTTGGATTCAATTCACATGATTTAATATTGTTTAACTAGTGTGTCTCGTATTTAATATCGTTTGATATTTTACAAAGTCGAGTACTAACTATCTAATAAAGATAGTTCAATACTGCAAAACTAGGATTGTTTATATAACAAGTACCATAAGTCTTAAACAATGAGTTGTTCCATTTTTATTTGCATAAGTTATGTAATTATAATTTAGTGACATAGAATATATTTAGTGATATTTGGACTTTCTTATTATTTATACACATGTCAGGACTTTTATTAGAGTATTTTTTCCATTATTTCACATGGTATCAAGAGCTCAGAGAAAAATCTAATTTTTTTCTCTCTCCTTCTCAAATTTACGCCAGTCACCGCCATGTAGCAGCCGATACCCTCCATGGCGTCGCAAATTGCCAAATCTTCTCTAGCGTTGTCCATCTCCGATTCTCCATTGATGTTGCTGCAACTACAATGACCGAGCCCCTGTCTTCGTCTGTCATCACTTTGTCACGCCAGAGAACTCTCGGGCGACAGTCTTCTCTTTCGTTCCGCAGCCATTTTCACCAAGCCTGTAGCTGCATTCCTCCGTATCGTCCGCCTTCCTCCCCTACACGTCAGTTTCCTTGGCATCCAGATTCAAGCCAGTTCATCTCCTCCGCCGGCAGTCCACCGCCTGACAATTCAACGACCACAGTTGCAGCCCAGTAGCCCATTCTACGGATCCCCGTTTGCAGGTGACTCGGCCGACATATGATAATCCCCTGTTTGATTCTCCAATGGCATCTTTGGCTCAAACTGTCTCCCATAGAATTGTTAATGTGTGTCAGATCGTTACTATTAATCTCAAAGCTATGGAAGCACCGCCAGCACTTGTCTCGGCCTGCGCTTCAGCTGTAAACAGCGGCGGCATGTGTAACGGAGGCGGCTGCAGCGTTGGCGGCGGCGGAGTCCATGTAAAAATAGGCGGCACCCACGAAGAAGAAAGCAGTGAGATCGGAACATCATCGGTGATGATGGATGTCTGCGGCGGCGCTGAGGAGGCGTGGTGCGTCTGTTGAGCCGCGCTCAAAACTGGCGTCTCAACCGCCGTGGATAACCCGGCGGTGGCGGTGGCGGCTAATGTTTCGGCGGCAGCGCCGGTCGTGGTTGGAGAAGCCATCGAAAAAAAATTTAACTGCCTAAAAACCTAGAGCTCTTGATACCATACCTACATCGCTTCATGGCTGAGGAGTTTAATGCACTTATTGATAATCATACCTGGGATTCAGATCCATTTAATGCTAGTAAAAATGTGGTCGGGTCTAAATGGATTTATAAAACAAAATTCAATGCTGATGGGTCTGTTGAGCGCTATAAGGCACGTCTGGTTGCACAGGGATTTACTCAGCAAGCTGGTGTGGATTTTTCTGAAACTTTTAGTCCTGTTGTTAAACCTACTACTGTACGTATCGTTTTATCTCTTGTTGTCTCGTATAAATGGTCTATTCGTCAGTTAGATGTCAAAAATGCTTTTCTCCATGGCAATATGACTGAAGAAGTGTATATCCGTCAACCTCCTGGGTTTGTTCATCCTCAGTTTCCTAACCATGTTTACAGGCTCCGGAAAGCTATATATGGCCTTAAACAAGCTCCAAGAGCTTGGTTTTATCGGTTCAGTAGTTTTTTTATTAACACATGGTTTTGTCTGTAGTAAGTCTGATAATTCTCTCTTTATTTACCGCCATGGGTCTCATATTCTCTATCTTCTCTTGTATGTGGACGACATTATTATCACTGGTAATTCCCCTTCCTTTATTTCCACATTTATTTCTTATCATGGCCGTGGTTTTGCCATGAAGGATTTCGGAGATTTACACTTTTTCCTAGGTGTCCAGGCTGTTCGAACGCATTCAGGTTTGTTTTTATCTCAGCAAAAATATGTGTATGATCTATTAACTAGGTTCCATCTTCACACTCTTAAACCTGTTCGTACTCCACTTCCTACGCGAACTAAGTTATCTCTCACTGATGGGGACCTCCTTGCAGATCCTACTGAGTACAGAAGTATGGTAGGTGCTTTGCAGTATTTGACTATGACTCGACCTGATATTACATTTGTTGTTCACCCGGTCTCTCAGTTTATGCATGCGCCCCGTACTACTCATTTATTGGCTGTCAAGCGTATTTTCAGGTATCTTCAAGGGTCAGATGCTCACGGCCTGCTTCTTCAGTCCAACACTTTTTCTCCAATTTTGTAGACTTATTCTGATGCTGACTGGGCTGGTTGTCCTGACAGTAGCCGATCCACTTCGGGCTTTGCTGTTTTCTTCGGTCCGAATTTAATCTCACGAAAGTCCAAGAAGCAGCCCACTATCTCCAGATCATCTACAGAGGCAGAATATAGAGCTATTGCATACACAGTTCAGGACACACTGCATATTCGATCCATCTTGTTCGAATTAGGCATCTCCATTCGAGAACTAGTTCAACTATTATGTGACAATGTCTCAGCTTCATACTTGTCCACTAATCCTATTCAGCATGCCAGGAGCAAACACATCAGTATTGACTATCACTTTGTTCGAGAGATAGTTTCACATGGAGATCTGGTTGTTCGCTATGTCCCTACTCAGCTTCAGCTAGCAGATATTTTTACTAAATGTCTGTCACCACAGCATTTTACTTTTCTTAGGGACAATCTGCGCATTGTTTCCCCTGCACAGCTTGAGGGGGTGTAATAGTGTAATTAATACTCATTAATTAGGTTTCCATCTTTATTAAGTTTCCTAATGTACTTAGGACATATATATATATATATATATATATATATATATATATATATATATACTCCCTCAGTCCCAAATTGTAAGATACATTTACTATTCACTTGGTCAACATAAATCACTTCTAAACTTTTATTTTATATATCAAAAGTTTATGAAGTTTGAATTATTTTTTGCAGGTTTTGTAGCGGATTTAATGTAGTTTTTGAATATGTAAATTTTATTTTCTAGAACTAATTTGGGTGTTGACAGGGATCAATTTGCTT